CTTGCGGACCCACGGCTCCTGGAAGCCCCGGCCGCAGATGTGGCAGCCGTGGTCGAAGGAGCCCCTGTGCTTTTTCATGTGGGCCTTCAGGAACCAGGTCTGGCTGAAGGCCTGGCCGCACACCTCACAGGGGAACTCCCCGGGGCTCAGCTCCGGCTTGCCATTCTCCACGCAGGCCTCAGCGCCGCGCGGCCCCTGCGCGGTGATGTGGTCCCGCTCCACGTGGCTGAGCAGCGACTCCTCCCGCAGGGTCACGAAGCTGCACAGCCGGCACTTGAAGGGCTTGTGGGCCTGATGCACGTGCAGCTCCAGGTCCTTCTTCCGCGCAAACTGGCTCTTGCAGAAGGAGCACTGGGCGGTGGGGGCAGCCCTGGCCTCCTCCGGCACGCCTGCAGCCCCCTCGGCCTCCTTCCTGCTGCTCCGCAGGAGGGTCTTGCCGTCGGGCGCTGCCCCGTTCAGCATGCGGTTGCAGGCCGACGCGCTCCTCGTGGGGCTGGCGCAGCCGTCCAGGCCCTCGGACACTCGCGCCTCGCCCGCCTCCGGCTCGTGGCCCTGCACCAGCGTGCCCGTGCGGTGGCTGCGGATGTGGATTTTCAGGTTCCCCTTCTGGGAAGCCCTGTGGTCGCAGTAGGGACACTTGTAGGGCTTCTCCCCGGTGTGCTTGCGCATGTGCTGCGACAGTGAGCTCTGGAAGGGGAAGCTCTTGCCACAGATGCAGCAGCTGTGACACGCAGCCCTGTCCCCATCCACCTCCTGGCTCCTGCTGGCCCTGGGGGGGCTTGGGCCGCGCCGCAGCTCCGTCTCAGCCTCTCTGGGATCCATCTGGATGACTGTCACATGAGCCGCGGCAGGGACGATGTGGGCACGGCTGGCGGTGGCGGCACAGTGTCGTGTCGGCCTGCGGGGACGGCGTCTTATCTCCCCATCGTTAGAGGAGCTTCTGGCCTCGCAGCGGCAAGAGCTGTGTGGGCGACGTGGAGGTGCATCTTCTACGCGGTGACCATGGCAGGTGGCAGCGAGCACCTGAAACAGAGATGCAAATCTATCAGCCGAGCTCCGCCAGAGCCAGGGCCCCGGTACAGGGCAGGCGCCCTTGTCAAGGTGCCGTCCACCCAGCCTCAACCCGACGAGCACCCACAGTCGTTAAACAGCTCTCGATATTTAACTGCGTGTTAGGTAACCACAATAAGTATCCACCTATTACGACACCCCAGGATAATTTTTCTACCAAAAAGCCCAGGTCTTTAAGACTGGTGGCGGTTCACAGGAAGGTGATGAAGCAGGCCAACCGACCAGGAGGGCCGTGGCAGTCGACCAAGGGAATGAGGGAGGGAGGAGCACAGGAAGGACAGTCGGCCCACGGGTCCACAGTGGTGACATGGTGGTGACGGCTTCCCAGATGTGACAGCCAGTATGGCACAAGCCTCTGCTAGGATGAGGGTGATTTCCCCAGGAGTGGGAGCCAGGCCAGGGAGTGGCACTGGAGCTCCTCAGGCAGAGCCACCAGCCAGACACCACTCGTCCGTGTGTCTGTCCATGCAGTCACAGGTCAGCCCCCTGCCCACTCTCCCGAAAGGGATGCCCCGGGGCTGTCCTAAGCCCAGCAGAGTCCTGTCCTCAGCACCTGGGATCACGCCGCCCCACTCGGCTCCACCTTCTGCCAGAGAACGCCCTCACGTCTCCTGCAGAGGCTGGGCCTTCCCCTGGGACGCTCCAGCCCGGTGACGGCAAGCACCCGTACACCAGGCAGGGGCCCCAACTGGGCGGCATCCCACCTGCACAGACACGGACTCTGGGAAAGGAGGCCGCGAAGGTTAAGTTAAGCTCACACACGAGGGCTCCTACTTAAAAACAGACAGGCCAGAGGGGCGCGGGGACTGGGCCACCGAGCCCCATAGCCGGCTGTGCAGTTTGGGGCCCAGACTCTGCAGCGTGGGGGCACGCCAGGCATCTGTGTGTACATGCCCAGATGAACGGAGTGGAGGAGAACAAACCATAGTGTGGCCATCACCCCGGGGGTGACTTCTCACTTTACCCCCATTTCTCTCAGCAAGGGCATGCTACCTGTAGTAGCAGAGTTAAAAAAAAAAAAAAACCTGACAAAACGTGATGAAGCGGTGTGATTCTGGTTTTCTGGTTTAGAACCAGATGGTGCATTAACACACATCTCTTTCTCAGAGACGAGAAGGTCTCCCAAGAACCATGGGTGGTGCCCTGGGTCTGCTCTGGGTTTCCACAAAGGTGATGCAGGAGGGAAGCTGACAACAGACGCGGGGTGGGGTGCTAGGAGTCGGCTGTGCGACAGGAGGTCCCCCGACCCAGGCAGCGGGCTCTGGAGCGACTGGCTCTACTCCTACAGACAGACGCCACCGAGGCAGGTCTGCAAAGCCTGCCCGCCGCCCCTTCCAGACTTAGCACAGGCAGGGATGATACTGGGAGGCCAGGCGCCTGCTCGACGGCCCTCCTGCCATAGGCCAGGGCAGCAGGGCTGAGAACCCATGCCCTCCACCTGGACAACAAAAATAAACATCCTCCTCAAGCAGGAGAGACAGGTCACCTAGAGCCTTTTCTTCTCTTTTTATTTATTTATTTATTTATTTATTTTTGGAGAATTTTGCTATAGGACGCAGGCTCGCTGGACAGAGACACAGACAGTAAGAAATCATCCCCCAGAGGGGAAGGCCCCACCATAATCCCTTCTCCACTCCCCCTTGGAATTTTAAGCGTGCGCACGCACACACGCCTGGTGTGATTTTCAAGCCACAGGGCCCAGGAGCTGAACCACAGTCAAGGGAGTCCAACGCCCTAACCACTACACCACCTGCCGGCCCCCGGGCATTTCTTAACGATGAAGTTCTTTGCTGATTTAAATGACCGTGTCCAACTTTTTTGTCTTGGCCCACAGCTGGCTATAACCTTCCGTCTTCCCCCAGGCCGCCTTTCAGCCCCCCAAATGTTCAAGTGGAAGTGAGGTCAGAAGTGTGAATGAGACATTAACTTAAGGACCAAATCTGATAGAAAAATTGACAATGTAAGGAAGCACATAGAAGGAAGATGACGGAATCTTTGGCTGTGACATCATTTTATGGCCCCCACTGGACCTGTCTGCCCCCGAGGGGTGTTAAGCTGCAGGACGGCTCTCCAATTCAAGAGAATCAAATGGTCAGAGCCAGCCATGAAGCCGATCCGCAGAGCAGGAGGCGGCCCACAGGTGGCCGGGAAAGAAAAGGGAGTTCTGGGGCCAGCAGGTGGCGTGGCCGTCAGGGCGCTGGACTCCCACATGGCTGACCGTGCCTGAGTCCCGCACTGGTGGCTTGCTTTCTCACCCTCCCTCCCTGCCCTGCCATCGAGTCTCTGATGACCACAGCAAGTTAAATAAGGGAAGTGAGCACAAAGGCCCGTCCGAACCCTCAGCCGCCTGCTCTGACGACTTGCTCCTGCCCCGTTTCCCACCCGCTTCCCACGGCTGCAGCTTCCGGGGTCTGCGCCTGGACCCTCTGCGGGACTGCAGTCAGGGAAGGACAGGAGGAAGCCCTTGCAGGCCTCTCCTCTTATGGACTCCCCCACCTCTCACAGAGGGACAGCACGAGGCACCCCCCACAGCTGACACCCACCACTCCAGGGCCCTCTGCTCATCCGGCGGCTCTTCCGCTGCCACTCTGCCCTCAACGCTGTGTCCAGGAGGCTCTGAACTGCTGACACTGTCACACAGCCGCCCAGCCCCAGGAGGCTGTGGGCAGCTCAGCATGCCAGCTCGGCTCTCAAGCCACATCAAGCACCCAGGCCACGGGACAGCAGCGCAACTGCCCTCCCGGCAAGGACCCAGGCCCTCCCAGTTCGTGTCCCCAGACTTCCCTGCATCCACTGCATGCACGAGCATGTGCCCCGGGACCGCAGGCTGGGCTGGGCCCATGTCAGGGTGCTGTCCGGTGCTCTCCTCTCCCCGCCATTCTCTGGGCTGTGTGCAGCGTGCACACTCTGTCTCTCTCTCAGTAAACCTCAACGCGGCTCAGTGCAGCCTCTGCTCCGTCACATTCCCCAGGACAGCCCGGGTCCGGCTCCTGGCTCCCCCACACACCCCAGCCAAAGCTGGACACCTCCCCGCGGGCAGGCGGGTTT